TTTTTTTAAAATAAAAATAATAAAATACAAAAAAAAAAAAAAGATATTAACTCCTATAGACCTCTTTTTTTCTTAAACTAAGTACACAATTATATGCCTTTAAATTACTTGGTACCTATTGAGTTAGTTATGAAGTATAGATATTTGAGAATTAAATAACTACTAAATCTAAAAATCTATATCTAAAATTTTTTATATTAAATACTTAATATAACTCATACCGAGCTATATCCAAAAATGGTTATCCCTAATTGCCCTTTCTCCCTTCTTCTTTTATTTTTCTTATGTTTTTTTACATCGAATTTTCCCTCTTATTTCATTTTATATTGCTTTGGTAGACCTACCACTTTAACTAATAAGAGATCGGATGTGGATTATACCTCCTTTCTGTGAGCAGGTAAGCCTTTCAGAACGTCGAAATATAACCAGAAGTGGGCCCTGGTTTCAACCACTGATTTCTCTAATCTTTGTTCGGTGAGCATATTCTGCCTTTCTTGTTCTTTCCCATATTATTCAAAACAGTGAAATTCTGTACAAATTTTTCTGATTGGTTTAACATTTGTGGGAAATTAAATTACATTTGGACAAATTTTTCTTTTTTTTTTAATCAATTTAAGCTGTAAATTCAGACATTCTAAAATTTATCTTTAACAACTTTTGTCGAAGGTTCTTGTGTTGTAAGTAGGGAAATATCATTCACAAATTGCATTTCTTCCAAATTACGGATTGTAAGTGTGACATTTACCCAAAATGAATTCCTTAGGTTAAATGCTAAATTTGGTCCCCCAACTTTAGTGAGTTGCACATTTTTGGTCCCTCAACAATTTTTTGCACTTTTTTGATCCCTCAACTCTAAGAAATGCACTCCGTTAGTCATTCTGTCAATTTAGACCGTTAACTACGACACGTGGCATTTTTTATAATTTTTTTGATGAGATGGCAAAAACAATTTAAAAAAACGTTGATTTGGAAATTTTTTTTGAGACACGTTATCACCAACTCATCCAAATCATAAATCGATTTTACCTTAATAAAAAAATAAAAAATTACAAATTTACCCATCTCCCTTTCTTGATCCATCTTCTTCCCCTCTTTCGATCATTTTCTTCCTTTCTTTTTTTTCTTTTTCTTTCTTCCTCTTCTTCCTCTATGTTTGTTGGGTTTGGTGGAACCCAACAACTGGGTTCCACCAAACCCGAAT